TTATGGTTAATTAAACCTATAAGAAAACATTGTTGTAAACTGAAATAAGATGCGAAAAAACAACTACAGCTAAACAAAACCTATGAATATTGCTCCCAAAAAAATTTAAATAACATAAAACAAATGGCAAATACTTCCCATTACTGTTTTCTAATACTGTTTTGCTAAAGTAATGATTTATCTTTCCTTCTTTATGGGAATCATTCAAGGAAATGTAATTCAGTTTATTGCCTTTAGATGGCGTCATGCTCTGGGCTTCTTTTGTGCAATGCACTTGAACCATAGCAATGTGCCAATAGCACTACATTGTGACATTTTGCAGTAGATAGCTAGAAATAAAATTGTCCCTAGAAATAAAATTACTAAAACTTAAACTGAAACTAATTATACATAGAACTGTAACTAATACAACCACTCTGAAAAGTTACAAAAACTAAACTGGATTTCAAATAAAAATTGGAAAATATAATAATAATAAATACAAAAAGCTCAAAACAATAACGTGCCTTCACTTTTTCCCTCTTCAGATTGGGTGTCTGAAACGTGGTTCTTACCCATTCTTCTTATTGCCATAAGCCTGCTCTCTCAGCAGGTCTGTAGATAATCTGCTCTCCTGTTTACTCACAGATCCAGTGACCAGGCTGCACATAACATCCTTACAAGGTGACCGTCTGTCTGATACTGATCTACACCTGATCTGCTCTTCATGTCTGAGAGATCTGATCACATGACGGGGCTCCTTTGAGGCGTCTCTATGATTCACTTTCTCATTTATTACATTTACCATGACACTACACTGCCCATGTGACGCGTCTCTCTCTCCTCCTCACATTTCCAGCATCCAGTCCCTCATCAGTCCGACCTTCAGCTAATGTGAGCTGTTGGGTTCTGTGTTCTGTGGAGAACAGGAGAGACGTCATCCTGTCCTGGTACAGAGGGAATGAGACACTGAACCAAACCAGCAGCCCTGACCTCAACACCAGCCTGTCTCTCCCCCTGGAGATAGAACACAGATACACCTATTACTGTGAAGCAAAGAACCCAGTCAGCTCACAGAACCTCACACTGAACATATCAGAATACTGCCTCAAAACCTCAGGTGTCTACTATACACTTTACCTGGTTGTCATGGAGACCTATTTCATTCCATCAGTGATGACTTTGACTCTTTTAGTTGGGAATAAATGAAGGTTTTATGAATGTTACTGCAATATAAAGTTTATCTAAAAAGGGGACATTAAGGGGGAATTTCAGTAACTGAGATATATTACATATAAAAATCAGTACGATTTCACTGTCTCTGTTTTAGGTGACGACATTTCCTCTACCAAGAGCTTCCTAATCCCTGTGCTTTTTGGATGTGGTCTAATCGTCATCATCGTCGTCATTGTCACCTACCTGAAGAAGAGGAAGCGTGATGAGCAGAGGGAAGGCAGGTATTC